TCTCTCTCTCTCTCTCTCTCCCCTTTGCCAATCCACTGAAGAAAGGACAGAGTTGGTAGTGAGAAGGAGACACTTCGTTTCCAGCCGTCTCTATTTCTCTGCAAATAACCTCCATAACGCTTCCTGAAAGTGGCAAATTTGCAATTCAGCAGTGTCAGTTTCAAGATTCTCTCCCTCTCTCTCTCTCTCTCTCTCTCTCTCTCTCTCTATCTAAACCCACTTCGAGTTGCAGTCAAAGAAGTCCTGGTCATCTCTCTCTCTCTGTCTCTATGTGTGCAAAAATGGCATGCGAAGGCAATGTCTTCACTTCCATAGTCTCTTTACCAGCCTTTGGCCTCATGATCATGCTCATCATTCTGGCTGTCTTCAATCACAGAGTCCCTCTCAGCCAATCCGACTTCCATGAAATCTTCATTTCCAATGGTGACAACTCCACCATCTCCTCTCACCTCCATTCCTTGACTCAGAACCCTCATTTAGCAGGTACCAGAGGAGCCCAACAAGCTCTCAGCTATGTTATGAACCAGTTCAACAAGCTGGCCTTCAGGACCCACACTGCAGAGTACAAAGCTCTGCTCTCATATCCGTTGCAAAGGAGCCTGGTTTTGCAGTTTGAGAATGGGACCAGAACGAAGCTTTGGCTTGATGAAGCTGACATGGGTCAGGCTGTTGCTCCTTACCATGCTTATGCACCTTCTGGTAAGGTCTCTGGTAAGGTGGTTTTTGCAAATTATGGGAGAGAAGAGGATTTCCAGAGGCTCAGAGAGATGGATGTTAATGTTAGTGGGTGTGTTGTTCTGTGTAGGAATGGGCAACTCTTTAGAGGTGAGATAGTTAGGAGAGCTGCTAAATATGGGGGAGTTGCCTTGCTTTTGTACAAAGACAGTGAAAGATTTGTGGGGAAAAGAGATGGGTTTTCTAAGGGGTTTGGTGAGATGAGAAATGGGGTTTACAGTGAGGGTTATGGTGAGAAGAAAGGTGGGATTTTTGAGGGTTACAAGGAGAGAACAGATGGGTTTCCTGGTGAGGGAAAGGATGGGTTTTCAGAGGTAGAGGGAGATGGGTTCTTTAAAGATGATGGGATAGAGAGAGGAACAGTTATGGAAGGATTAGGGGACCCTTTAACTCCTGGTTGGGGGGCTATGGAATATGCAGAAAGGCTCGATATTGGGGTTGAAGAAGTTAGAGAGAGGTTTCCAAGTATTCCATCTTTGCCTATATCTGGTTACAATGCAAAGGTGATATTGGAGTCTCTTTGGGGGCCCCAGTTACCAGAACAGTGGAAGGGTGCCTTACACAGTGAGGTTGGTAGGGTAGGGAGTGGTCCTACATCGGTGGACTTCGAGTACAAGGTAAATATCTCTCTCTCTCTCTCTCTCTCTCTCTCTCTCTCTCTCTCTCTCTCTCTTCTTGGTTGTAATGGTGCCAATTTCAACCTCAAGTTGGACCAAAGTATGGTTAAACTTTAGTTGAATTTTGGCCCAAATTTCTTTTTTTTCTTTTCCCCCCTTTTTTGCAAAAAGTCAGAATAAATTGACTCAGTTTTGACATAATTATCCTGAATTAATGGGAAATTCTGAACAAATAATGCAGAGGTAATGGTAAAGACTTTGACCAATCAAAAAATGGTAGGAAATTTTTGAAGACTATTGCAGCAAAATTGGCCTAAATTTGAAGTAAGCTCCGGAGGTCCCCAAATTTCCATATATGGTCCAAAATTCATGAATTTCGGATAATTTAATGGAAGCTTTTGACTTTTCATTAAGTGAATTTCAAGCAATTTTGTTTGATAGTAATGCCATCGTACTGGAATTCTGTCGTGTGTTGTTGATTTTTCACGGGATGCATCAAATTTCAGTTGGGTGCAATCAGTCAAAACCGGATTTTCGGTGTCAAATAACAATTTTCTGTGATTGTGCAGCAAGAATAAATTCTCTATCATTCTTTGAATTTAATGTTTAACTCTTTAAAGCCGAAATCCTCGCAATGGTTGTCATAGCCATTTATTCATTTTATACTTTATTTTAATGAAATAATTTGGATTTTTTTTTCCTTTTTAACTATCAGAACAATATGGCTGGAGAAATAGTAAATACATATGTTACTAGTTCTATGGTTATTTCATTATACCGTGGGTGTAAATTTTGCTGAACTTCCCTCAGCTATCAAGCTGGCCCAAAGTTCTCGTGTTTTTTCGTTTTTTGGGTAGTTAGATTTTGTGGGTTTCAAATCTTATATATGAAATCCATACTAAATTCTAATATTTTAAATTTGAAATAATTATTCATGGACCAAACTAGTTATTAAATTCCAGAATTATAATTTGTTAACTAATTTACCATTTTACAAATTTTATAGTTTTTCCACTGACTGAGCTTCAAGCCAATGTTTTTTCAAGAGAAAACAAGACCTTTGAGCCTTTGTCTGATTATGGATTTTTCTTGATTTTTGAATTTGATCACTGCAGCATTTTTAATCCCCACCAATAATTCAAATGAGATGATCCTGGTTAAATATGGCATGCAATTGTATCAAAGATTGTGATAGAGATATGCTGAATTCTTTCCACAGTTGGTAAATTTCTTGCCAAATGTGATCATTTACCATTACATTCTACAATCTCAGAATCCTCAATTGTTGATTGAAGTGATTTCTTTAATTTATTAGCATCTCAATGTGGCTTTCACTGAGGCTTTTCAGATTCCATAAATGAATAATTCTTATAAGCAGATGGATAGAGAGAGTACGGATAGAGAGAGTTATCTTTAACATTATCTCTCTAGAAAATTTAGTTATTTTCAATGTTAGTACTGATTGAATTCTCATGAAAAGAAGTCATTCGTCTTATTTTTTTTGTTTTTCTTATGTAATTTTATTATGTTTCCTCGCACACGGAGTTTGAATATTTGTATAAGCACACACTTGTATGCAACCAGTGGAAACAAGAAAACCTGAAAACCATATGTGCAAAATACTTACTGGGACAGTCAGAAGAAAAGGTTAATCTGATGATTCCTCCTAGCGTTTTGGGGTTTTGACCCTTGCTAAAGCATCTGTCAATAAACTTGAAAAACCTCTCATTTCACTATTTTGTGTGTGTGTGTATGCACACACGACCTTGTTGTTTTAATGGGAGTCCATAATGCATTAGCTTTTTCTCTTCGTGTTGCTAATAGGAAAGGAGAACAATGGCAACCATCAGGAATGCTTTTGCAGTTATAAAAGGGGCCTTGGAACCAGACAGGTATGTTCTCTTGGGGAATCACAGAGATGCATGGACATATGGTGCAGTTGACCCAAACAGTGGCACTGCAACTCTTTTGGAAATCGCACGTAGATTCCGCCTTCTTTTGCGTAAAGGTTGGGTGCCAAGAAGGACCATCATTTTATGCAGTTGGGATGCTGAAGAATTTGGGATGGTGAGTTTCCTAACCTAATTTTTATCTTCATCACTAAGTGCAATAATGGATAGTTTCGTGCATTGCAGGTATAATTTTTCATTTGTGGTTTGATTTCTAGGTATATCAAACAACCAATGATGGTGGGTGTTTTTTACTCTTTAGTTTGTCTTCTATTTTTATGTGTGTTATATAGATGTTCCAAGCTGAAAGATATCTCTATTCACCATTAACTGCTGGTTTTGTAGAATTTATATTTTCCAGATTATTTGGTGGTGTCTAAGCCAGAGTTTTCTAAAATATGTATCGAAGCTTTGTGAGCATTGTTTTCTGTTTCTGATGTAAATTACGATTATATTATTGTCACCATATTCTCCTTGGATGCATATGTTTTTAATGTTTATGCATGTTAGTGTCAAAAGATGTACTTATGATTTTCCTGATTTCTTTTTATAAACTATGCATGAGCAGCATTTGTAATTCTACAATGATTTATCAGGCTGCTTCCATTTATTAAGCATAAATGCTTAATATTCCTCGGTATCTAAGCCATCCCTGAAAATATTGGGCGTTTTCCTGCCATTTCTCAATCATCTCTTCTTTCTATTACTGGTTAATTTTATCAGCAGATAGTGGCTGCTTTGTCAGTTTTGATGAACATCTAGGTTGCTGTTGTAATTTGCCAAGAGATAACATAAATAGGACACAGGTTATCCCCTGTTGACAGTGGAGCTACCTGATGCCTTCTTTAGGAAAAGTGGAAATGATTGAAACAACCCTTCATCTTTGAAAAAGTCACACTGCATGTCTTAAATAAATGATTGTTCCTCCCTAAGATGGACTGATAGACCCCGAATGTGCTTTCTTCATTCTTTTATAACAACTACACTATCATACCCTTTGTTTTTGTTGTGTAGCAAGGCAGTGATATTTGAAAGCTGTCTATGTTGTCTTGTGTTTGTATTGTAAAGATTTAGAAGCAAAATATGCTTGAAGTGTACGGAGTTGTTTACTTATGATACGTCCTCTCTTAATGGTTGTCTTCAATAGTCATGTCTCTACGTCATTCATTTTCTATATGTTTGTGATGTTTTTGTTTTCTAAGTATTCATTTTCGAGGACAACTTAGAGGTTTGTTTTTTCTATTCAGATTGGATCAACTGAATGGGTTGAGCAGAACCTTGGGAACCTGGGATCTAAGGCTGTGGCTTACCTTAATGTCGACTGTGCTGTTCAGGGGCCTGGCTTCTTTGCAGCTGCAACTCCCCAACTAGATTCTCTCTTAGTTGAAGTTACAAAGGAGGTAACTGATAAAGAGAGTTGGGGTGGCACATTCACTTTAATACCCATGTTTTATGTTTTACTTGGTGGGTTACACTGTCACCCATATTCCTTTTCCTCTGTGTGTGTGTGTGTGTGTGTGTATGTGTGTGAGAGAGAGAGAGAGAGAGAGAGAGAGAGAGAGAGAGTATCGCGTGTACGTTCAGTGTAGTGTCGACCTACCGTTACGTGGACGACTAATTAATTTAATTTTTAGTTTAATTTACTTTTCGTTAGTAATTAAATTAAT